TTTTCTTTACAGCTGGACCTCGCCATAGAGGTAAATCGTCATTTTCTCGCAAACGAGTATGGTGACCTATCATTTTTTCCTGTTGTTTTGAATTGAGCAATAAATTTCTCTGTGTAAAATAAATATGGACCAATTCTCAGTGTAGAACGAAAAGCAATCGTCGGAAACGAGAATTTAGCAAGCAATTGTAATTACAATCATGGTGCTGTTATAAGGATTTATATGGTATCAACAAGGTGCTTTTGCTCCTAAACGAACATGGGGACACCATTTTTATTTCAAAATTTAAGTTCATGTAATATAAACAATCGATAGGCAAAATTTCACAAAAATCTCGGTGCAGGTTCTATTTCAGCGGAATGACCTTAAAATGTTGGCCAATAGACAATATTCGTATCCTCGGTATTGGACTGGAACTAGTTTGCAATTGAGGCTAACGTGGGGAGTCTTTTTCCAATTCGAATAGCATTCATCCCTTTTTTGTGATATTCTCCCGCACGAGCCTCCAGTGGAAACTAGTTCCAGTCCAGTACCGAGAATACGAATATGGCCGATTCACATCTATCAGGCAAACTCCATCCAGGCCCTCGACACTGTACTAATCTGAGTGGAGGAATGGAAACTATTGGAAAAAAAACGGACGGTTAAAAAATAATCTTTGCACTGGACAGCAAAGAACTCACACAAGCGAGAGAAGATACCTTTTTTAAGTCACAAAATCAGATTATTTTAAAAACGAGAAATTAATTATGCATCATAAACTTCGGTCAAAACAAATGAGTCATGAAAGGCATCGTGATGGTTAAACTTTTAACAACTGTAAACAGATGATTACTTATCCAGGTGATTTTTATTGCTGTACCGTAGAATGTATTATTTCATTGACATGTATCATCGCTTTTTCTTTTCTTTTTTTTTGCAAGAATCTCCCATAAAGTAGCTAAGTCACGATTTGCGCATCTTGAAACATATTAGCCTAAACTTTTCAAGTTCGTCGTTTGCAATCCGTGTTAGTCTTCTCCATCTTTAACCATCCTTGTTCCTTTATGCTTTGTTATTATCTCTTTGGGGTTTTTCTATCTTAGTAAGCCACTATTTTGAGGTTTCCTCCAATGTAAAGGTATTTTTGACTGAGCTCCTTTAAATGACCGTGACTTGGGTGGGGTAGTGGGGGAGGGGTGGATGGGCAGGGGGAAGGTACCTTTCAAAATGTTTGGATTCATACATGTATTTAGAAAGATGTACGTCAAATATGTTTGTTACATACAAAATTTCCTTCATTGTGAAACACTAAAACAAAAAGATGCGAAAAAAGCGAGTTCAACAGTCGTTAAATTAACGTCAGAACATGTTTAAGTATACTCTAATGTCATAACATAAAACAAGCTCTACTCAAGGCATTGGCTAATAAATATAAACGCACGGACTTATCTGCAGGAAGAGGGGTTATAACGTACCACGAATGGACTTAAATTTGGGAGAATTTAAGCGAGAATTGGGTTATTTCATTAGTTGCATTAGCAAGCTTTTCCAACTGGTCTCCAAAATTTGTCGGCATTTGGCGACATCCTACCTTCTCTCGCCTAAACTAATAACTGCCCCGCTGGCAGACTTCCCTTCATGCATTTCCCCTTCACAAAAAATCCGCTATTCATGTCGACCCGGACGCGCTACGCGATACCTGCAAAAAAATTACTTGCAAGAAAGTTCGGACGATATTAATTTCGTATATAAAAGGTGTCTGAAAATAAAACCGTCCTGAATTTCTAGCCGTCCAAATTGTAAGCGTCCGAATTATTTACGGGGTAGCTGGAGTTTTGGCACCAAAGCGAGTTCGCACCCACCAAAGTACCAAAATTTATCTCTCTGACAACATTGTGGGCATAACGATAAAACCGAATCACACAAAACATTTTTATTTCTCGTTCTTTAATCCATTTGAAGGTGAAGGTGAACTCGAAATAGAAAGTTTATAATGAGTTCAGGGGTGCGAACCAGGTTGCCTGCGAACTGGATTGGGTGCGAAACAGGTATAGCATTCATTTAAGTACAGTATGACACTTTTAAGTAGCTCCAAAACTCTCCTTTGGGGAGCGAACTCTAGTTGTTTGACATACGTAATGGTTTCATAGAGTTTGAGTTATTTTCCCGTCGATGTACCCGTAAAAAAACCTTGAGGTGTTTTGAAACACGGTGATTGTTTTGAAGACGAAACTACTCTAGGGAGCACAAACGAAAATACAGCACTAGGATTGCGATAAACAAGATTAACAGCCTAACCACATTTCAGAGGAAGGAATATGAGAGTATACCGGAGGGTATTAGACTGCGTAGCGGTGGGTTTTTGTGGCGCGGAACGAGCAGCGAGGCTGCGAGAAGAATGATGACGAGAGAGGGAGAAACCATCAAATCCATAGCGGCTTGCCGTACAGTATGACTTATAAAATGTTAAACAGGAGGGCTTTTCTTTCCTTTTTGATTACTTTGTATCAGGCCCCTGATGTTTAATGTTTTAGTTTGTGAAGCTGGCGAGATTTTCGCTCTTTAGCGGCCGCTCGAGCGATGACGCGAAGCCGCGAGGAGAATGGAAATTAGTTAGCGGCAAGTCCGTGCACAACTCGCGCGACACTCGCGCGCATAACCTGTAAATGTTTTCATTTTCCCTTCAAAAAGTAAGTTATTTTGACACAACGCCAAAACTTAACTAAAAAATAGTAAAAATGAAGGAAAGGGAAATCACAAATCCGTGCACATGTTCTTCTCAAAGTGAGGTTTGAAGGTCAGTACAGTACCGCCTGAAAGTATTCACCCGTTTCCCGCGTTCTTGCCGCGGGGCCTCCACGCGTCATTGACGCGGTATTCTCGCACTCGACCCCGTCTTTACCGAGCGATGACGAGCGATGACGCGAAGCCGCGAGGAGAATGGGAATTAGTTAGCGGCAAGTCCGTGCACAACTCGCGCGACACTCGCGCGCATAACCTGTAAATGTATTCATTTTTTTCCTTCAAAAAGTAAGTTATATTTACACAACGCCAAAACTGAACTAAAAAAATAGTGATAATAAAGGAAAGGGAAATGACAAATCCGTGCACATGTTCTTCTCAAAGTGAGGTTTGAAGGTCAGTACATGTGGTTCGAGTTACAGTCTCGAGCTCCCTGTACTAACACAGAACGCATGATAATAATCATCCCAGTACATCACATCAGGTACACTCGAATCGCCCTGAGTCCAGACCACCTCTGCAACTACATACGAGTCAGCTACCCTGGAATCCATCAACAAACAATGAACACATGTAACTTTAAATTCCTTAAAAACTTCATTGTCGTCCAAAGTTACTTTGTACAATATTTTTCAATCTTTCTACACAATACAGTATCATTGGTTGATTAACATACTATTTACAAAATCCTCATATTAAAAATACATTATAGATAACATTTCGGAACAGTTATTGACTGCTCTGCTAATTTACAAGGCATCTAATTATTCTTACATAGAGCTTACAAATTTTTAATAACTCACTAAAAAACTTACATTCATTTTCTATTGAACCCATTTACTACCTATAGTGCCAAAAGTAATCAAATAATCACCATTTCTCTTTTTGCCAAATGTTTCAGGCCAAACAGTATCACACGAAAGAACCACTCAATAGCTTTAAACTGAATGGTCAGACGCAGGGATTTAAAACAAGAACCACATTGATGGCACTCCAGGAGAATTGAGCGTCATCAAAACATGCCCCCT